CCTTAACTTATCATTATTTCTTCCATTCTGATCCCCTGACTTCTCATCTTATCTCTGTTCTTCCCTGACCTTCAGAGTTCTCTTCCCCTTAGTTCATCTTCCAATTTTCCTGCCCATTCAATTACATGTCACCTCTATTTCCCTAACCTTCCATTTTCTCATCCCTCCTATTCCTCTGACTTTGCATCTTCTCATACCTTCTATTTATTGACCTTCCAAGTTATCATTCCTTCATTTCATCTGATCTACCACCCCCATTTCCTGACCTTCCACTTTAATTTCCCCATGACCTTTCATTTTCTCATCTTCTGTCCTCCCCTCACCTTCTACGTTCTACCCTTTTATTCGCCGTTCTTTCCACCTTCTCTCCCTGACTATTTCCCAGACCTCCCTTTCCCTAATTTTGCTCTATCTCTTCTCCACCAGTTCCTGACCAAACTCATTCTCTCCTTTTCTACTCCCCTGACCTCCCTCTTTCACCTACACCTTCTTGCATACTGGTTCTTGGCTGTTTAGACAAATGTCAGGCAGCAGCCGTCTGACATTACAGTAATGTATATGAAATTCCTATTCCTGTCTCTGTACCCCCAGATCTGTCTCTGCAATCCCACCTCACCTTCCATGCAAACACAGGCAATCTTTTGGAGCTGTGCCAGTTTTGCATCTCTCTTACACTATGAAATATTTGACAGAAGTTACATGAAGAACCTTTATCTTGTATATAGAAATCCCTGCTTAAAATATTTCCAGTTTAAGCAGTAATGGACTAATGGCAGAAGGTGAACATTTGAGCTAAATGGAATGATTGGGAAATATGTAATACAGGGTATAAATCTTCATACGAAGCCATTTACTACTAGGATGTTGTTCAAATGAATCTCCTTAATTGGACCAGAAAATCCTCTTTCTTGGTGGCCTTCCGGTAGCTGCATGAAATCATTGGGAGATATGTAATACAGAGTGTTCATCTGTCTTTGAGGCCATTGGCTATTAAGATGTTGTCCAAATTAATCTCCATAATTGGACCAGAAAATCCCCTTTATTGGTGACCCTCGGCTAGTTTCATGGAATAATTGGGAGATATGTAATTCAGAGTGCACATCTGTCTTTGAGGTCATTTGCTTCTAAGATGTTGTCCAAATGAATCCCTATAATTGAACCAGAAACTCCCCTTTTTTGGTGGCCCTCAGTTAGCTGCATGGAATCATTGGGAGATACATTTTGAGGTCATTTGTTATTAAGATGTTGTCCACATGAATCTCCATAATTGTACCAGAAACTCCCCTTTCTTGGTGGCCCTCAGGTAGCTCCATGGAATCATTGGGAGATACAGTATGTAATATAGAGTGTACTTCTGTCTTTGAGGTCATTTGCTATTAAGATGTTGTCCAAATTAATCTCCATAATTGGACCAGAAAATCCTCTTTCTTGGTGGCCCTTGGGTAGCTGTATTGAATCATTGGGAGATACATTTTGAGGTAATTTGTTATTAAGATGTTTTCCAAATGAATCTCCATAATTGTACCAGAAACTCCCCTTTCTTGGTGGCCCTCGGCTAGCTTCATGGAATCATTGGGAGATATGTAATATAGAGTCTACACCTGTCTTCGAGGCCATTTGCTTCTAAGATGTTGTCCAAATGAATCCCCATAATTGGGCGTGAAAATCCTTTTTCTTGGTGTCCTTCAACAGGTTTGCGAGTCCACAATAATCTGAGAGATATGAGTGTTCAGAAGGTACGATACGGTTGACAATAGAAGCAGGAAATCAAGCCAATGCAGACCTCAAAGGATCACCACTTCCATAGGCAGCCAATATCCGAGCTTTTCTTGGCCTCGAAAGAGGGAGATGACTCATACGCTTTCCATTGATTGGCCAACAAAGTCGAAGACAATTTTTTTTTACTGTTTTTTGTACTGTTGAATCACCAAACAAATATTCACCAATCACAGATTGGTCAAAATGAAAGGGAAAACTAAGAATTTAGACACTGCCATAAACACACGATTCCATCCAATCAGAGGCATGATGATGCTCTAACTTTTTGAAGTGATGTTGGATCTGATGTGTTTCACATAAATGATCCTTCAGGACACATAGTTACACATGTCAGTTGGGGGAACCATGTATACATGAACATTAGAAGGTGTACAAGGTATCCTCTAGTATGAGCAGATTTCCTCACATGGGTACAGGGAAGGGTTTATTCAGGCCTCCGGTTGATGGATATTACAGACTTTACTGGCATTTTTACTGTGAAATATTTACAGCTGCCAGTTTCCATTCTCTCAGCCCTGCGACGTCCAGACACCTGTGAGGCTCTGCAAACCTCAGTAGTATTTAGTGAGGCACCGTAGACTGGGATATGTGTACGCCCTGTGTCTCTGCAATGTTCTGCAGCTGTCTGACCCTCTGCAATGCTCTGCAGCAGGGTACCGCTCTGTAGATCAGTGCTTCTCTGTAATCCTCTGCAGCAAGGTATAACTCTGCAGATCTGTGCTTCTCTGCAATACTCTGCAGCAGGGTACCGCTCTGTAGATCAGTGCTTCTCTGCAATGCTCTGCAGCAAGGTATAACTCTGCAGATCTGTGCTTCTCTGCAATGCTCTGCAGCTGGGTACCGGTCTGCATATCTGTGCTTCTCTGCAATGCTCTGCAGCAGGGTACCGCTCTGGAGATCAGTGCTTCTCTGTAATGCTGTGCAGCAGGGTACCACTCTCCAGATCTGTGCTTCTCCGCAATGTTCTGCTCCGGGTACCACTCTCAGATCTGTGTGCTCTGCATAAGGGTACTGCTCTGCAGATCTGTGCTTCTCTGCAATGCTCTGCAGCAGGGTAGCTAGGGGTACCCAGGGTAATGCTCTTTAAAGAATATGTACACCCAATCACTAAAATCTTACATAACCTTTTACGTTTTAATATCATTTTTCAAAAGTTATTTCAATATTTTAAAACCTGTAGCTTTAATTAAAGCAATCCCTGGTGATCCTGCCATGATGGTCCTTGTTTGGACACTTCCTGCTATAGGGTGACAACGCTCTGCTCCTGTCTCACAGTTGTCCTCCTGAGTTGTCACCCGGTCACATGCTCTCCCAATAGACAATACAAAGAGACACGCTGATGTTTATCGCTCAGACATGTTCCAGCGTGATCACTATCAGGAATCCCCCTCCATGTGTGCATATAGACAGGAAGTGGCCCAGGAGATCAGCAGCACTGATATGCAACAATGAATGAAAAATTTGAAAACAGTATTTTTTTAATGAAAAACAAAAGAACAAAATGGCAATTGTAGATGATGCACAGAGCTTGAGGAAACTAAGAGTCATCCAGTTAGGGTTTAAATGTCTCTGCATGGAGATATCTGTATTCAATTAGCTCTGTAACAATGGATCTCTGTACCGTGGTATTCTGAGCGTCACTGACCCCACGTACACCTCTCCTCTGCGCTGTGCGTAGGACAGTGGTGTCACTGGAGGGCCTACAGCCAGATGATATGAAGAGAGGTCACAGGAGGCGACTAATCCAACTGAATATACATTGTGTCTCTGAGCCTCTCTCATGCATCTCATTCTACATTCTAAAAGGAAATCAAATTCTCCTTCGTATCTTTTTATTAGATACATAAATGTGAGCTACAGACAAAACTGTTTGGATAAAATGTGGGGGGGGTACGGGTACTAGTACCAGTATCAATGCATCCCTAAATAATATAAACGTGCCAATGAAACACATTGGCACGTTTATATTATTTAGGGATGCATTGATACTGGTACTAGTACCCGTAGCAATTATTAATATCGTACCGAGCATTTTGGCCGAGTACTCGTGTAATGACTCGCCCAAATGCTCCGATGCCTAGCCCGGTACTTAAGCTTCCGGTTTCAGGAAGCTAGGCGGCGAGTCATTACACGCTGTGAGCCGGCTTTCCGGCAAATCAGGAAGCCGGGCAGCGTGTAAAGTCTCACCGCCTAGCTGCCTGATTGGCCGGGAAGCTGGTCAAACAGGAAGCCGTCATTACACGGCCTCCGGCTTTCTAATGGGCCAGAAAGCCGGCTTTATGCCTCCGCGTCAACTGGTGACGAGGGAGCATGGAGCCGGCTTCCCGGGCCAGCTTCTCGACCTGATTGGCCAGCTTCTCGACCAATCAGGAAGCAGGGCAACGCGTCGTTACACGGCACCCGGCTTCCTGATTGTCCAGAAAGCCAGCTCCATGCTTTCTCGTTACCTGGTGATGAGGAAGCATGGAGACGGCTTCCCAGCTAATCAGGAAGCCAGGTTGCGAGTCATTACACACCGCCTGGCTTCCTTAATGGGATTTCCGATATCGGTATTCGGTTTCGCCGACTAGAAAAAAAAAATATTGGTACTCGTAATCGATATCGAAAAACCTGTATCGGTGCAACCCCAATATTATTGATCATTCAATTAAATTTCCTCTCTATTACCCTTACAGTCGCCTTGCTACTCTTTATCTTTCTGACTCTGGATCTATCTCAGGAGACCCTACTCTGTTTGTGGCATTGGTGAAGCCTCAACATGTCAATCAGCTTACTTTGCTGAACGAAACGAAATGAAATTTCGTACAGACTATCGCTAACAAATTTTGTCCGAATCCCGAAAAGAAATTGACTTTCGGACCCGAATCCCGAAAAGCAAAATAACGCAAAATCCGAATCGAAACGAAACACATTTTTTGCCAGTGCACATCTCTACCTCTTATATCAGTGCATGTCAAAAGCCATAGTCAGGGCTTGGCCAATACACTGCCATTGAAAACAGACTTGATAGTATAAGTGGCTTATCTTGCAAATGGTGTGCTTGCAGCAATCATTCAGCATTTTCTGACCTACAGATAGCCTGTAGAGGGCATATCTATGAGTCTGTATATGATCATGAAAATGTGACAAGGATGTAAAACCGTGCCAGAAATGACCATTTGCCGTATATTTATGGTGCTATGTGTCTATCTTTGCTCACATTCTTTGCCTTTTTTCCACAGCTGACCCTGTTGACATTTTGAAGGGCTTGAAATTTCACACACAACCCGAGGGTGTAAAGAAGACCTCTGGCCTTTGTCCGGCCCGCCGTTCAAGCACTGGTGGAGATGTGGCCTACAAGATTTCAAAGCAAGCTCAGATTAGCGCCCCCACGAGGCAGTTATTCCCAGGTACCTGTATTGTTCCTTTACGGTGATGACGGAGAGATGGTGGGATCAGGGAAGTGCTGGAAAAGGGTAAATGAAGGCTAATGCCCCTATTCAGGGCAGGTGCTGCCAATACGCAAACTGGGCAGCTGCCTAGGGCGCAGCCCTGACCATTCACCCCCGTCTATTTCGAATCGCAAAAGCCAATAGCAGTCTGGCTATTGTACCCTCCCACTAAGCAGATGAGCGGAACTGAGAGTCCCCTATGGTTAAACTTGGATGGCCAAGAAGTCTCCTGTGCTATTGTTCACCAACTGCTCAACTGCTCAACTGTCATCACTGCTTGCCATTCAAAATACTAGTGCATACCCATGGGTATACTGTAGGGGAACATGTGACATGCCCCTTGTACCCCCAAAATCCAGAGGCCCAAACAGCCAAGGACCGTGCCCTAGTGCAACAGATGGAAGGTGGAGGGCTTACCAAGTGTTTACAATTATAGACAAAACTGGGTATTGCCTGTAGTTGTTAGAATATTTTGGGGGTAATGGTGGGGATTGGGTCAGTTTAGTCACCAATGTTTGCCTAGCATAAGGCAAGAAGGTGGGTTTGGGTTTTTATGACAGGTTTTCTTTAAATAGTACTTTTGGATGGACTGGCCCTTTAACAATGATTATAGTGGACCCTTGTATCACACAACTGCACCCAAATTCACCAATATCATGTTATGTTCTCATCATAAACATTGGAGGACCCCATTGGGTCGGTCAACTTCCCTGGGCCAGTAGCCAGTTATTAGGTGTCCGCTGTGAGTCTGAAAAGCTAACACTTTATATTCCTGCAGGTAAATTCCCAGAGGACTTCTCCATTATGGCCCTTTTCCGGGCGAAGAGTGGGACGCAAGCCTTCCTCCTGTCTATATACAACGGGGATGGAATCCAGCAGATCGGAGTGGAGGTGGGACGCTCTCCTGTCTTCCTGTATGAAGACCAGCACGGAAATCCAAAACCTGAAGACTATGCTTTATTCAGCGGGGTCAATCTGGCCGATGGAAAGTCAGTAAATATGGCTCGCTTATTTCATAAAATACTTCTTGAGTCACTTCTCTTGCCTTACTGTCTTCCACCAATTTCCACTGCTTGGTCAGTGAGTTGAAGCCCTCAGCTCCTTAACTTGCATAAAATCCTAAAATCCTCAGCTCCTATGGAAGTTAATGAGCTGGTTGTTAGGGAAGGTGCACCCAATGATAGCTCTCCAGTCAATGGTGCCTTCATACCTGATCACATAGAGCTTTATGAAAATACTCCTGCCTGTCAAAAATGGTCAGATTGGATCATCAATAGTTCAATAATTGTCTATGGCAGCAGCTCACTTGAAGCGTATCTAAACCCAACAATAGAAATGCAGATGTGGTGGCTGCATTAGTTCTTTTCTCAGGCTTTTTATCCTTTACTTTCACACTAACACACTTCCTGTCCCAGGGTGACAACACTTACTGTCTGTACTGTATCTATGCAATAGCAGCATTGTCATCCTAAACAGAAAGTGTTTCAAGACTACAGATCATGTCCTCCTATTCTCATCTCCATAACATGCTGCCCACAGAGTATACTCATGCAGGACTGATGAAACAGATATAACAAAATGCATTCAACTGTATATTTAATAGGCCAAAGGGGATCAAAGAAGAAAAATGTATTGTTAAGATACATTGCATAGAATTTAGAGGAATAGCTCTATGGAAGCTGTACCCTAAAAAAATGGCAGGGTGAGGGCAAAGGACTAGCTACCAGTATTGTCTGTGGTGTCCCTGCAGCTTTTCCCATTTCTGGTCTACCATGCCTTGTTCTACACCGTGTCTCTGTGTGGAGGTGGCCATATTGGCAAAGACGGGGCTTTGCTTCCTCATGTCAGAGCCTCCAGCAAGGAGAACAGTGAGCAGTACAGTAGTGACATCACCAGATCTTGCTCTAAATCTCCTGAGACTAGCAGTCCGAGGCAGCAGTGCCTGAGATCTCACATTGTAGATATACATCTATGAGGATGTAGGCACACTCACATACCAGAATTGCACTGCTATTTTTCAGGAGGACTTCAAGACAAAAGGTAGATTATTCAGGTTACTGGTTAGGCACAATTAACATTTCTGGATTTTCGCTATAACATGGCAAATCTTCACTTTTCTGCATCAGGTCCACTTTAAGAACCAGTCTGTCTCAGCCGAGCTATTCTCAGTAAAGGGTTTATGCATCACACAGCCTCCTATGAGCCATGCCTCCTATAGACACCATAGAGCAGCTGGGGGTGCAGGCAGGCATGATCCCTTCCCCTTCAGGCATCTCTGGTGACCATTAGTGTTTATCCTGTATAGCATTGTATGCATTGTCCTGTTTTAGGGTATATGTCATGCAACTGCTGTTCCCCCTAAAAGATCTTCAGCCATCATCATCTCAGGAAAAAAGCATGAAATGGTTTTGCAAACTTGTCAAAGCGGACTGGATTAGGAAACTGTCATCTGACTTGCATGGGCTCCTTAGGAGTTTATTTTTTCCTTGGAGAAGCCATTTAAAGAACCCTCCTTTACTGCAGCAGAAATGGGTGGAAGGGGGCGGAGCCAAGCTTGACTTACAGAAAAAAAGTCTAACTTTGTATACATTTTCATCTGCTTATATTTCAGTTGATCGTATTGACGTGCGTTGCTCACCTAAAGTAACCTCTGTTTTATATCACTCAGTTTGAGATGCATTGGTTTGTGTTGGGTTTACTTTCCCTCTTTATCCCAGACTAAGGGTTGCATGGAGAACTATAAGACTTTGACTGAGTTGTGCTGTGTTGAGAACTTGACAGGTCCTCTTGAAACGTTCAACTTATTTAAGAAATTACCTTTTGGATTGAAGCAGAGATTGGTGACTTCTGAAACCTGCTGGCGTATTGTAGCAAACAGGGACCTTCTAGAGAACTTACCATCCAGGACGTCCCAACCTCCCAACATTGACTGAGTTGTGTTGTGTTGTGTTGCGCACACTTTAAATAGTCATCATATTAAAAAATGATATCACGGTTTTAAGTAGACCATGTTGGGTTTAATAACCAGCTGACTACAAACAGCAATCAGGGACCTTAAATCGAAGATGTGACCCAGAACTTTCCAACCTTCTGCTCTCCCCTTTGCCCTAGTAAGTCCTCTTGCTTGGCCTTATGTTCACATGTGGCCATTAGTGACCCTTTGGCGGATCTCTATTATTTCCTTGTGTATGGTCCAGCAGGGGGTAGTGTGTCCAAATAGTTCTGCCTAAAACAGAAAGTAGGTCACTCTTCTTGCCAGTGTCTACCCAAAACCGAAAGTTTGGGAAGACTTGTCTTTTTTCAGGAAGGTGTAACCATAGAGCTTTACAGGACTCAGAAGCAGAAGTTGTTGAATATATTTAGAGAAACGTGCCGGAGTTTTTAAGTGTTAGACAACATAAGACACATTCTAATATACGGAGAATATCAAAGCTCCCAACTGCACCCCATCTGGTAGGACTGTCCCTCTTTTTGGAACTTAATCCCTCTGTCCCTCATTCCTCCTCAGATCTCCCTTATTTTGGCCTCATGTGTAGACTTCTATATAAAAAAATATTATTTAACTACCAAAAGTTTTATGCAGCTCTAAATATTCATCCAACCTCTAAATTGTTGCATTCGCTATCCTTGGATGGCAGTATGAAGGAAAAGTGCTCAACCGGGGAATCTCCTTTGCCTAAATACTCTGTGCTTATAGTGTCCCTCTTTTCCATTGCAGAAAGTTGAGGTTTATGGAACATGTATATAGTGGAGGATTGGAAGCCAAACTGTATTTTAATGTTCCTCTTGTAGTCTTAGAATGCTGCAGTCTGGATGGTGATAATACCAATATCTTGTGGGCTAAACACAAAATGTATCAGTTGCTTTTTTAATACCCTACCCGCGCTCTGTGCTCCTCCCAAGACCTCCTGCATCACCCTAACCATCCTCTCCCCTCCTCCCAAGATCTCCGGCATCACCCTAACCGTCCTCTCAGTTCCTTCCAAGACCTTCTGCATCACCCTAACCACTTTTTCTGCTCTTCCCAAGACCTCCTGCATCACCCTAACTGTCCTCTCTACTCCTCCCAAGGCCTCCTGCATCACCCTAACCGTCCTCTCAGTTCCTTCCAAGACCTTCTGCATCACCCTAACCACTTTTTCTGCTCTTCCCAAGACCTCCTGCATCACCCTAACTGTCCTCTCTACTCCTCCCAAGGCCTCCTGCATCACCCTAACCGTCCTCTCAGTTCCTTCCAAGACCTTCTGCATCACCCTAACCACTTTTTCTGCTCTTCCCAAGACCTCCTGCATCACCCTAACTGTCCTCTCGGTTCCTCCCAAGACCTTCTGCATCACCCTAACCATCTTCTCCGTGCCTCCCAAGACCTCCTGTATCACCCTATCCATGCTCAACGCACCTCCCAAGACCTCCGGCATCACCCTAACCATCCTCTCTGCTCCTTGCAAAACCTCCTGCATCAGCTTAACCATCCTCTCCACTTCTCCCAAGACCTCCTGCATCACGCTAACCATCCACTCCACGCCTCCCAAGACCTCCTGCATCACCCTAACCATTTTCTCTGCTCCTTCCAAGACCTCCTGCATCACTCTAACTCTCCTCTCCCCTTATCCCAAGAACTCCTGCATCACCCTAACCATCCTCTCTGCTCCTTCCAAGACCTCCTACGTCACTCTAACCTTCTCCGCTCCTCCCAAGACCTCCTGCATCACCCTAACCATCGTCTTTGCTCCTTCCAAGACCTCTTACATCACTGTAACTGTCCTCTACGCTCCCCCCAAGACCTCCTGCATCACCCTAACCATCCTCTCTGCTCCTTGCAAGACCTCCTGCATCAGCTTAACCATCCTCTCCACTTCTCCAAAGACTTCCTGCTCTCTAGCTCCCTCATCACCTCCTCCCATACTCACCTCCAGGACTTCTCTAGGGCCTCTCCCATCCTCTGGAACTCCTTACCACAACCTATCCAGCTATCTCCTACTATGTCTGCTTTCAGGCATTCCCTGAAAACGCACCTCTTCAGGGAAGCCTATTCCACCTCCTCTTAAAAACTGTACATCTCCTCCTTCATAAGCTCACCCGTCACAGTTATCACCTTCTGTATCACTTGCCCCTCCTTGTAGATTGTAAACTCTCAGGAGTAGGGTCCTTCTAATCCTTTCGTATCATTTCCAGGTACGTCCCGGGTTTTTCTCACCTTGCCCTTTTATTTGTGTCCCCAAATCTAGATGGCATCGCATTGCTCTGAGCGTACAGAAGAAGTCCGTCACTTTAATACTGGACTGTAAGAAGAAGATAACGAAGCCACTCCCGCGAGGGAACAAGCCCATTGTCGACACTAAAGGAATCACTGTATTCGGAATGAGGTTTTTGGATGAAGAATCATTTGAGGTAAGCGATAATAAACTTTCATCTTCAGCTATAGTCTGTCCTAACTAAAAACTGAGATATTGCTTTATAATGAGGGGTCTGTGGAAAAATCCCAACACCACCCAAAAAATGATATGAAGGCTTTGAATAGAGTGAGAAAGGGTTAAAATTCAGTCTGGGTTTATTGCTGTCTGTGACCCCAGGGAGATTTTGCTTCACTTCCTGTTTGGTCTTCAGGACAGGAAGTGAGGGGTATCTCTCTAGCGGGATAACACAAAGCAATATAAACTCTTGCCTGCATTGGGTGGGAAGAGGTTGCACAATCTGGCGGTTTTTAGTGCTGTGTGAGGAATTCGCTCTTAATTCCTGCGTGGTCATTGGGACAGGAAGTGAGGGAAAATCTTCCCAAAGTAAAAAACAAAACAAAAAAACAGCAATAGAAACGTGACAGAGGCTCCAACCTTTCCCAACTTTATTTGAAAGAAAAAAATAGTTATTGGCTGGACTTGGGTATTTATTGTGAACAAATAAGTCCCGAACTTTCCTTAAAGAACAGGAACGGATTATTTACAATCCGCACAGTGCGCTGCTTATTTCAATGCAACGCAAGGTATTGGGGTACCGCGTGTTGAGGTGCACATCAGCCGAGAGATGCATTGGGGTAGCATTCAAATGAATGGCAATCCAACGCACTTAGCGCCTGATAACGCTGTGCAATAGTGTACATTCATTGCGTGGAAATGTGCGATTAACACAACACAATGGTGTTAATGGGCCCTGAGGGTTTGCAATTGGGAGCCAGTAGGACAGGCTCCTGATCAGGTAATCACTGTGACAGCCAATAACAATGATCACCTGATCAGGAGCCCATTCTACTGGCATTAAGACCCCCTTAAAGGGCCGGCTTCCTCTGGTAGAAGGGGGGTTAAATAGTTTATTTAATTGTATACATATATGACTGCAGTAAACTGAAATCATACTGGTGGCAAAGTCATTTTAAAGCAAACCTATGTTGAGAGAAAAACATAATCTGCATTAGCCATGCTCTTTGTATGAATGAAAATTGCCTGGCTGTCATGCTGATCCAAAGGCTTCGGTACTTATTGAATGACTGACCTTGTATAAGTATGCACATCAGGGGTTCTGACTTCACTTGCTGCATGCTTGTTCTGGCTAAGTGACTCAAGGAGGAATATAAGAAGGAGACAGCCAGGTAGCTGGCCTTTTCATTGGGACCCAACAGTGGCAGCCTGCATGGTTCTCTTGGTACAGGTGTCCTTTAAATAAGATGACATACATCACTTTTCCACTTGCTGCTGGAACATTTGAGGCTTAGCCAACAGACCCCCAATGTGTCTACTGTACAGCCGCCTCCTCTCCAGCCTGGCCCAGCTCACTGGCTCCGGTGTCAGGAGTTGGCCGGGGGGCAAACGTCCCGTTCCAGTTGGCGACTGTGGGAAACCAGCCGCCTGCGCCAGATTCCCCTCCTAAGACTCGTCTGCTCTCTTATTGATCTTACATGTGTACAACTGCTGCATGGGAGCTGGATGAGAACCCTAGACTCCAAACAGCCCAGCAATCCTGACATAAGAGGCCTTTGTAAGCCTGAAGCTACGACAAACATCCAGATTATTATTTTAGAAGCAATTATAATTTTAGTAGCAATATCTGAAAACAGCAGTAATAAAAAAAGCTAAACAGCTAATCTGGCACTCAAATATTTAATAATTTGTCATTTTTAGCTCTATATTGTTGATAAATGTTCTCCAGTTGTTGTTCCCTTTTATGACCACCTGTGCGCTGTGACACTCTTCTCTGCTGATCATTGTTACATTGTAACCAATTCTTTTGAAATTATTTTATTATGGGAACATAAAAATAAATATTTATCTGTCAGAGACCTGCTGGGTATTATTTCTGCCCTGACATTTTATTATATATCACAGAAAAATATATGGAAAAAGATCCCCTGAGGAAATAAGAGAATTGAAACATCTTTGAAATATGTCACAAAGGTTTAGTGGTTTAGTCTCCAGTATAATATTTTTACATTCTGCAACCCAATTGTACTGTCACCTGTCTTGCTGTGTACATTGAATAGAGATCATCCAGCGATGTGACAACCTGCAGAATAAAATCTAGTCCAGCAAAGCGCAGGAATCTGCGGGGCGCCGGTCATTTGTAGGCTTTGATCGCCATCGTGTGGTTGACTGGAGGAATGACTTGTATCGCTATTACAAGCTGGGGGAAAAAATAAACAATTGCGCCATCGTGTGGCAGAGAGACGCAACTACTGGCGTATTGGTATTTCAGGTTAGAAAAAACAAATAGCTGCGCCACCGTGTGGCAGAGAGACGCAACTACTGGCGTATTAAATGCGCCACCGTGTGGCAGAGAGCCGCAACTACTGGCGTATTGATATTTCAAGTTAGAAAAAACAAATAGCTGCGCCACCGTGTGGCAGAGAAACGCAACTACTCGCGTATTGGTATTTCAAGTTAGAAAACACAGGCAGATGCGTCACCGTGTGGCAGAGAGACGCAACTACTGGCGTATTGGTATTTCAAGTTAGAAAACACAAATAGATGCGCCACCGTGTGGCAGAGAGACGCAACTACTGGCGTATTGGTATTTCAAGTTAGAAAACACAAATAGATGCGCCACCGTGTGGCAGAGAGACGCAACTACTGGCGTATTGATATTTCAAGTTAGAAAAAACAAATAGCTGCGCCACCGTGTGGCAGAGAGACGCAACTACTGGCGTATTGGTATTTCAATCGAGAAAACACAGACAGATGCGCCACCGTGTGGCAGAGAGACGCAACTACTGGCGTATTGGTATTTCAATTTAGAAAACACAAATAGATGCGCCACCGTGTGGCAGAGAGACGCAACTACTGGCGTATTTGTATTTCAATCGAGAAAACACAGGCAGATGCGACACCGTGTGGCGGAGAGACGCAACTACTGGCGTATTGGTATTTCAAGTTATAAAACACAAATAGATGCGCCACCGTGTGGCAGAGAGACGCAACTACTGGCGTATTGGTATTTCAAGTTAGAAAACACAAATAGATGCGCCACCGTGTGGCAGAGAGACGCAACTACTGGCGTATTG